AGGTTGTCGTAAGAGGCGGCAGGGAAAAACTGAAACAGGAAAAGGCCTGCGGCATCTTTCTGAAAACAACTCAAAATTATAAAAGAAAATTGCAATCCGCCTGCATAGCTTGGCAAATATTCCCCCCCCCCCCTCTCCCCTCCTCCCCTATGAGGCAATCTATGCGGCTGTCCCATTTCAAAACCTAGTAAGGAACACTTTCAGACTTACTAGGTTTTGAAATGTTTAAAGTGACTTACTAGGTTGTTATGTGGTCATGAGGCAGTGAATGGTACACTTACTAGGTATCGATGCTTTAATATATCTGCTTTTTTGTGCGTATTCAACGCTGATGTTTTTGTATTGGGTAGGGACTTACTAATTTAGGAAGACTATGCAATAAAACGATTTTTGTAAAAATTGTCCCTTACTAGGTTTTGAAATGGGACAGCCGTATGGGGCAGGCCTATGTAACAGTCGACTTAGCTAGAGTGTAATAATGTGAAAATTATTATGATTTAACAAAAAATCATCCTTCTTATTATCGCCATCCCGTGAACTGTCCATTGCTTGACAAGAGCTTCTCTCATAAGTCTAAAATCGCCCTTTAAGATACCCACGGGATGAGATGGAGGGCTAGTATCTCTTATACCGTCTCCACACGTCTTATCATCAGTTATTTGTAATGTACTATTTTATTTTCAGCTCGGGACACTCAAAGCACCTCTACAGTACTTTTGAATTGGCTTCGCGGGAAGAGCACTCCTAAGGTAGTGCATATGTAAGCAGTCGCTAGTGTGTTATTACAGTATATATATGTACAGTGGTTTAAATTCTTTTATTTGTATTTTATATAATAAACAAAGATCATTGCACGTAATGTTTTGCCACCGCTGCCTTAAATCTCTAATTCACTTAATTTGACTTGCCAGTAATAATGCACCGAAAAATACCAAATGTTATATGAAATTATTAAATCGAGTGCGTTTACAAATTGCCTAAGCTCTTTTCCTTTCAAGGTTTAATTAAATTTGATAAACAGATAATTAGGAAGTTGATACAATTCATGTGAGTATAATTTAAATTAAATGGTTTTTAAAAGATTTGTAATAAAAATTTGTTTTTAACTTATACTTTTTCTAAAGATGTGTTAGTTTTCGGTGCATACGAACGAACGATAAAAATAACGATATCCATCATATATATGTAAAAGTTGTAGGGGAATTATGTACTATGGACTCATAAAAAATTACACAAATATTGATCATGAATTCCAAACGTCTTTCGAACAGGCAAAAATATATTCAACATGTGTAAAGATTATAGTGATAATTGGGCTGCTGATTTTTTTTTTCTATTTTTTATTATATATAATATATTTCTATAAAATCGCAATTGTTAAAAAATATTCTTGATATTTTTTAAATATTAATTATTATATAATTAATCTCTTTTAAGTATACTACTTATAAACTCTGCTTGTACTATCTCTATAATTTCATTACTTTAAACCACTGTAAAATATAACTTACGTTATTCTTATGAGCTCGAAAGGCGTCTGGAAAAAAAATGAAGCCTTTTTAAATTTTTTCGTATGCATCCAATTGGCTTTGATGCTATAAAATTAAACAAAATATTACGACAATGTTATATGTGAACTATATTGATATACCATAATAATGAATAATGTGCTTTTACGAATTTTAATTTAATTACTTTGTTTTAGTTAATGTAAAGGATTATATAAAAACAAGATGATTTAAAATCGTGCCTTTTTGATGTTGTTATTGAAAGGATATCCGGGATGCATGTTTGATGAATAGATTTTAAACGAGCGCTGTACTCGAACGACTGAGCTGCACAATCGATAAACAACTACAGCTCGGACTTTAATGAATTATCATTCCGTAATCCCCAGTTCCCCCTCCAAAACTGGGCCGATTTGAATTTATTTTAAGAAAATTTAAGATAAATTGTGGTTGTCTGTTAGTTTATCTTTTAATTGTTCATTAAATGTTTTTGCTTACCGTCTAATAGGGGCTAATAATATTACGCTCACCAGATGTCGCTAGTTCGGCCTGAGGTGAACTTATTTGTTACGTAGATGGTCACATCATGGTGTCGTCATCATTGAAAAGTTGTTTTAAAAATGCTTTACACAAAACAATGCCTTAGTAGTGTGTTCTTTAATTATTTAAACATTTTTAACTGTTTTAGTCTTCTTTTAGGTTATCCGTAGCTTGGGTTATTCATTTCTAATCTAGCTAATATTTCAGAAACAAACAATATTTTTCACACATTTCTAACAATTTTGACCTGCTATGAGATCAGTAAAATATTTCACCTCACACCAAAGAGGCGCCGCCATAGTGTTAGAAAAAGTCGTGGATGCCCTCGTGCGGTATAACTGGGCAGTTTTAGTAATTTTAGAAGGTTCCTAGTTTTGAAAATAATTAATTTATGAAAAAAAAAACAAGAACATGGCAGTGGCATAAGATTATATCGTAAAAAATTATTTGCTCTAGTGTCATTGTTTATGGAGAATACAGACGATTCGTCTTGTATGGACAAAACGCCATCCGGATATGCTCTTAATATGTATAATAATATGTAAAAAATGTATATAAATTGGATTCACATTGTAAACTTGGTTTTTGCAATAAATGATAATCATTCAAATGTGGTTTAATTATAGTTTAAGAATGTGAAAAAACGAAACGAAACAGTAATTTTGGGAATTTTTTTATTATTTTTTTAAATATCTACATCTCGTAACGATCATACAATACAAAGAACTTAAAATGTAATCATCACATATAAAATCAAAGTAACGCAACTTCGCGGTTATATATCTTTAGAATTTAGCTTCTTACATAACATCGCGTGTCCGTTTAGTATCTATCAACCATAAAACATAAAGATCACTTCTCTTCGGAGAACTACTCCACTAACTATATTATTTATATGTACATCACCTCAAATTCAAGATTTAGCAGATACATTAAACATTTACGCTATTCCATAACAATATCTAATATCTTAAACTAATTCCAAAGAGCCAGTCCAAAAGCCAAATAAGTATTAATTATGTAACTATATTGTAATGCGTATATTTTCCCACATAATTTTTACATAAAAATAATTATATATAATAATATGTTATTTACGTCAATTTAGTATTTTCATTATTAAGGTATATACCACAACCGACATTACTTAATATGTATAATCATGTTTCATTATTAATTTGCTGCTGACAATTGTTTTAAGTGTGTAGGTACTTGAGATATGGTTTATATAACGTATTTTCTATTCATCATATCATTTTAATAATAGTTTATAAAATACTTTTATCATAATATAACTTATGGCACCAAATGCTTATAGCATAAGACATGTTTAATATTTACATTTATTTTTAGAGTATATTTACATAACATAAACTGGGTAATCAAGACAGACGAGACGATTGTTTTGTCCCATAACTTGGTTTCCCCATTTTTACATATATCAATGGAAGACATTTGATAGTATATCCTTATAAACAATACAGCAAATTTATTATAAACGGACATAAAGATCTTACAAACAATAAAAATTAACGTTCCTTTTAAATTTATATTAAACGAAATGTTAACTGTCCTCTAGAGCTACTAGCGCTTTGAACATTTATATTTATATCAGTGGAAGTTATATCACATTAATCTAAAAGAAGTTAGGTCACGACGATCTCTATAGTGTAGAATACTTAAGTACAGTTTAATGAAATTTGACTATTGTATAATATTTCCAATGGTTCTTAACATAGGAACAAATACGCGATTTTTATATGACTAACTTCTAATCTAATATCTTATCCATGACGCGTAAATCACATTTTTTTCTTCCTTATTATAATTCAACCGTAATAGGAGTCTAACGTTACATATTATGACTTGAAGTGACTACGATTTGAAATAAAATCAACATTATAATCTATCACATTAACTGTAAGGCACTTAACTAAAAATAGTTTCAACAAACGCGCAAAAGGAACAATGGTAATGTGCCTGTGCCTACAATATCCTAAAAAAAAATATACAGCCCTTCGTCTACGCAATTCATAACAATTTATATTTATGTGCATACTTGATAGATGTGGTTTTTAATATCTGTATCTGGATTAAGTAGAAAAATACTATACATACTATATTATATATTAATAGATGAACATAAGTTTTATTTTTACAACATAAAAGCGTATTTTATTGCCTTCCCCCGATATTAGTTGAATTTAATAGATATTAGAATATTCCGATGAAAATCAATTTATCTTTCAATATTTTGTAGATAATTCACCTATATCTTCACGTTGTTACAGCAACAAGTATAATATTCTACTCATCTTTAGAGAAATCAATTTTGTAGAGTTCATTTGTTTAATGACATCTGACCAGATCTTTTAATTAAATGCCAAATTTAGGTTAAAAAATCATACAGATTTAACTCGAACTTTTCCTATATAATTAACTGGAATATCTAATGCATTGTTTCTTTATCCGAATTGATGACAATGGAAAGAATTGTAACTTTGGTCCCATAAAAACTGTTCTTATGACTAACATTTGTATTAACTATTTTCTCGGTCGAATAGGCTTTCGCCAAGCAAAACTGATTATCTTAAACATTAAGAGGTAGATTGTAATTTCAAGAGCCACGTCAACTAGAAATTGAAGGCAAATGTATCATATCTAAAGAAATATCTGCTGAAATACTTATGTTGACAGTCTCTTTTATTTCGACACGAAAATATTTCTGAAGTAGCACGCAGGGCTTAACAAACCTATTAACGAAATTGGACTTAAACTATACACTCAAAAAGGTACCTATGTTAGACACATGAAATCTTCAGTCTTGGCATCAGTCCTCGATCACGGATACACCGTTGTAACTAAACGTTCTAGTTTAAAGTATTTTCGTACTTATATATACACCATAATTAAAGCGATTGATCCATGCACTGGGCTTAGAGAGTTAACAGTTCAGAAGTGCACGTCGCGGACGTCCGTGGGGGTGGCAGCGTTATTGTGCGCCTTGTTCTGAGTCGGCGGCGGTGTCCAGTCCGCCGCCTCTCGTGCTTGACCGTTTGGGACAGACACAACGCGCTCTTCTATCATGTTCTGCACCATTTCTTCGATCTGTTCAAGGCACGTCTGTAGACAGTCCTACATGGAAAATAATTCATAAATTAAAAGTTACTAAATAAATACAAAAGAGATATAAGCAACAAAACAATTGCATAAACACTCATTAACTGAAAAAAGTTTAGACTTATGTGACTTTACGGGGATTTGTTACTTAAATTTTAAAAGCGATGGGTCCGATATTGGTAAAAACAAGATTAACTTACCAAGTCAATACCAGTGAGGTCATGTAGTCGCGGTAGGTGGCCGTCCAGGCCGAGGCCTCGTAACGCAGCGGCGATGCTACACGATGCCAAAGTGCTCGCTGAATACAGAGTGAATTCATAATCTGAAACAACGGAATTATTTTTTAATAATTAGGTTTGTATGTTCCAATAATTTTATGAGTGCTGATCACAATACCTTTCTACTTTCTATTAGGGGTTTATAGAGGCCCACCGCCCACATTTTCACAGAATGCCAGCGTAAAAGTTATCTTACTGCGGTCTCCTATAATAGGTGACGAAAAACAGAAACACCTTTTTTAATAGTAACGAGGCATTCTTCTTAGTCTTTAAGGTGACAACTGACAACGCATCTGTATTTTGATTGATATTAAGATAGATGGAGGGCTCTTTGGGCTACAGCATCCACTTACCATCAGATGAAAGGTGTTCTCAAAGTTCGCCGTAATGTGAGGAAAATTAAAACCTATATATCAAACAACTTCCATTCTTATTGCTAAGATGGTAATTATTTATTTTTGTAACTATTCCTGCTTTTTACATTTCTAGCATCAAAACGAGCAATGCACGTTTAACGGCTAATGATGTGTGTCAAAGTTATAATTTCACAATAATGTTGTGGTTACACACAGCGTTCTTGCGTGCGCTACGATTTAAATAACAAACGAGCGTTTTGCCGAGCGATATCAGTTCGAAACCGGGTCATGCTTATGTACTTGGGTTAGCTAGTTTTAGAGTCGCGGACGTGAAATAGATGTACACTTTCTTGTACTTACATGGCCAATATACTATTTTAGGTAAGTTCATTGAAGTAAATTTAATATGCTAGTCGTACAGTAGACACATATTATATCAAGGGTTATGTTAACCGGTTTTGCGCAAAGCTATTAATACAATAATTCATTTATATATAAAATAATTAATTTTTAAACGATTTAAGGGGGAAAAGAAAATTACGCTATATCATTAGGTATTCCTAGAAATTACAATATTTTGTGAAAAAAAAAACATTGTTAATTCAGTAGTATTTAATTGGTAATTACTAATTAAAATAATTTCATTTCTTATCTAGAAACATTTAAAAATAAACTTTTCGTTAAGACACTCGCGTTGTTAAATGTTAGCACACTTTCCGAAAGGACTTCAGTAATATCCGGCAGAGGGCTCCTTTCTCCTTAACGGAGGCTGTCGTGCGTTTGGAGAGTACAGTCTCAAAGGAACCGGCATCCGCCATCCGTCGGCCACATTCCACAGGCCGCAACGCGATCGATTCACTCGGAACATTTCTCACGGGTTTGCTTCGCCAAAACGATTATAGCTATACACATAACCCATAAAAAAGCCCCACTGTGAACTAATTTGGACCTGGACGTCTCAAGTTGCACGTCAAGATAATTGACATTGAAATAAAATGATGCAAGAATAACCATTTCTCTGCATTCCGACACTTAATACGAATAGTGTTGAAAATATTTGTGTCACCTCAACGTACCTAGATATTGTGAAAAAAAGTTGTGAACATTAAATACCTAGTCAACATTTATAGATCGGTTGTTTATTTTAACCTAGCGATCCGCCCCGGCTTCGCACGGGTAATTTCTGGGTTTCGACAGCTACGCCACCTACCGGGTCCAAATGTGAATTTAAACCATCTAGGGACCCATTCAAACATACACAAAAAATTTCATCAAAATCGGTCGAGCCGTTTTTGAGTTTTAGCGAGACAAACCGACAGAAATTGATTTGTATATAAAAGTTTAATTATTACAAGGACTTTTGTTCAAATTAAATAATTACTTTTGTAATTCATAATAAAAGAATGAGGGCTAGTAATTTTCTGCTCACCAGATGTCGCTAGTTGACACTGAGGTAAAACTTTTAGTTATACAATGTCATTTAATTGAGAAATTGGTTTTTAATAAAAGTATCAGTTTCTAGAGTATTAAATTAATACACAAAACAATGCGTCAGTGGTTTGCAAGACAGACAATTAAAAGATAAAAACAGACAATTTCTTTTTGTATGGAGAATGGGCCTTCCACAAACGGTGGCGTAACTTAATGAAATGCATGTCGGTTTATTCCTCATAATCTCTAGATTACAACAGTAATATTAGTTTTACCGTATCTAACGGGAATACTGAGAAATTAAGAGTTACAATATGAACATCACAATAACCTAAAAACAAGCTAAAACGATTGTCTAGTAGTTTTCACCGGTGTTATAAGTTAAAATAGTGCACTGGTCAATAATTAATAGTATAAAACAAAGTTGTAGGTACATTCAGCATTTATAGCTAGGTACTTTAAGATTGATGGAAAATCCTTTCAGTAGTTCGTTCTTCGTTACACGCATTTTTTTTCATATTGCATTAGCCATTACATCAAAACAACTGTTTTTTTTTTCATATTTCATGATTCCGGTTAGATTCTCATAAAATCTTTAGGCCGTTTACTCTTATAAATTGGTATATTTTTTATGAATTACGTTAAAATTTCTAGTGAGCCCAAAAACGATAGTCCTTTCAACGTATAATAAAATATCTTGTTACTGCTACTCTTATAAGGTTTTCTGCATGCGTGTGTGTGATTATGTAGGTTTAAAACCTTATTATATATTTAAAAAAATCGAACTTACTTTAATTAGTCAACAAGTGGGATGTTATTAGTGAGGGCAAGACAGAATTGACAGATTTTTTTTATTAGATTTAAGATAAAATTACTAGGGATATTTAAAAAGATGGCTTGATAAATGTACTTAGGCGACGTTGCAGTCTTCGCGTGCGATTGTATTTTAACGAGCTCCGCTTTTGGATTACTCGTTTAAAATACATGTAAAAACAATGCTTAATTAAATGTAACATAAAAATCGTATGTAAGTACTCCTTGTAATTAAAGACCCAGTATTCCAACGCAATGTTTATCGGCAGCCGGTCCTACACAAATACATGTTTTAAAACGATAAAACAGCAGGAAAATCAGCTGTTTGACCTTGCAGAACGAGTAATTTTAAGCCACCGTGTATACCTAACATTTAGTTTATTGTTAAATACCAATAATTATATAATTAAACAAAAATTAATATATTTTCACATGTTTATAACAATTCATTGAAATTACCGAATGTCATGCCAACGTTGACAAAACAAGTGAAGCTTTTCATGTTCTTTTCATTCACAATTAAGTACATCTTACCATCGACCAACGCATGTATATAGAACACTCTTTCAGCTTCATTTAAAGGGGCCTTTTCCATTTTTTTTAATTCTCATGTCGGCACCCGAGACAAAGAGAAGAGCCTGGGTAAGGGGAGCCAATAAAAGAAAGACAAAACAACGAGAGCGGCTCACTCGAAGCATTTGCATAATCTGATGTTAATCAAACATCGAAGCCCTACCGCTTTGCTTTGTGACCGGCAACTAAGTCCAGCTATAACTTTAGTCTTTACAATTACTTTACACAGAGTACTAATAACAAGCCGTAAGTGAGGACACGCGTAGCGGATGTGCTCGTTCAAGTCTTCCTTATAGAACGTGATCGACGGAACTTACGAAGCTCAAAAGGAAGTGACGAGTGACCGTATAATGTACAGGATAGTAATTGACGGAAAACACTGCTGGACCACGAAATTGGAGGTAAGTATATTTAACAGCTAAAAGGGTAGCATAGGAAAAAGAAAGTGTGGTCGGTTGTGGGCCTAGTGATGACACTCGTAATTGTCGTATTATTATCCTTGAACGCGCTTTAGAGCGTCAGTGTTTCGGTTCTGTAGCGGGGTGAACGCTCCCGCGAGGCCGCGCCGGGAGTTAAGCTGCTTCCACTAAGCCCTCATTTCAAAGTGCCGACCGGAACTAGTAAATACCATGGTCCGATACCAACACATTCGCACATGTAAAAATGTCGACCGCTGATAAGATTAAACCTCTACGTAATCGCCACTGACAACCGAATACGACTCTGGTGGGATAAATTTGTTTATGGCACCCATTTTACTTTTGATCACACTTTGATGAAGTCGTTGCATGGCATCGTATCTTTCTCCTTTGTAAAGGAGTCTATAATAATTTATCTCCATTCGCACTGCCCTGCAGGATGTGTCAGTTTTAAAATAACCCATTGCAAATTTAATATCTCGGCGAATTATAAATCCGCAAGGTAAATTGTTCCATTCGAATAATGATACATAATGTGGCCTCGTTAGATGCCGTACCTACTAAGGGTCTCGGTTATATGGCGGGTAGTGTGGCCAACTAGTTGTTAGCGCGGCACTAGCTTATGTTGCCAACATAATAGGGCTACATTGCCGCATGTCTATAAATCTGAATAAGAAAAATCATATAACTCTCGACTGAATATCACACATTAAAACTCACTAAAATATCTCTAGACGTCGTTAATGTGATTCTTATGTTAAAAAAAATATAAACATTGGTAAATATTTGTAAGGACCGAAAAGAGTAATGAATGAAACAATAATTTCAGCTGGGTTTCTTGCTGGTTCTTCCAGGGACAGACGTTTTTTCCGAACCTAGTGGTACCTACATCAAAAATTTACTTTCAATAAGTATTATAATCTATATTGAATCAACCAATGATTGCCAACAGAGTAATTATATTTTTTCGTAAATTTTTCTGTAAAATGCCTTTGTAAATGAAATATAAATAAGAAATATGTACATTAAAAAAACGCTGTTTTTTATAGAAGCATAATGTTTCCGGGGCCTTAACCGCATAAATATAGATACTTGGGTAATCTAAAACAAAGTTGGTTCCATTTCTTCAATAGTTTTAAAGTTAAATTTGTTCGTACAGCAGCGGTCTAAAATTAGTTAATATACTGAAAAAAAATTTTTGTAGACGAGACAGTTTTAAATAGATTAAATCTAGGGCAGAAGGGAAAAACGCGATAGGAACTTGTCCCTTCAACATTCAATAATTAGTGTTCCGATGTGTATAACGTGTCGCTATTTTTGGGTCCCCCCTGAATCTTTACGCACGACCAGAAGACGGGTCTTACATTAACCTCTTCTTTGCAACCTAGTGATGATATCCGAGGAGGTAGGGAAATAAAAGAGTTGGAGCGTGAACCTCTCGAAAAAATCCAACACGACGGCGGCGGCGAACAACAAAAACCGTTGCACAAAAACATATGATCCCATGAGGGTTGCGGGGAGCCGAGACTGGTTGGAGCGCAGGGGGGAGACCTGAGGCGTGCTGGAATGCGCTCGGGCGAGCGGCGTGGGAGGCGCCGCCTCAGGACACACACGCCGCCTTTTACTCAGACATTCTCTACCCTTGTAAACAAACCTATTCGATTCCTCGACTTTCAAAAACTAATATAAACAATTGCACTTGTGTTCAACGCCGAATGTCAACGGATTTCGTGGCGTAAAACACTGATGTACAGAAATGTACTTCGACGCAGTGCCACAAACCGCCGTGCACTGATCACTTAAACACGGTTATCGATAGCTTACATCCGTTAACGCTGTGTGCACATTGAGGTTATACAATAATAGGAAAAACACTTTATGTTCTAATAATTTAAATTTTTTTACCTTAATAACATAGGTATTTATTTTCCGTTAAAAGATAACATGTGTGACTATGTACAAATATCTTACTTTGTTAATGTGATTGCTTCTATTGCTGTAATATACTTTAAACTTTTTTTAACACCTAAAATGATACAGATTCGTAAAAAGCTATTTTTAATAAACTGTAGGCGTAAACACAAACGAATGTGACATCATCACGATACGAATACCGCTGGCATGATTCAACTAATAAAATTGATAGATCAGTCCCATACTGATGGTACTTTGTGTACGCGTGGCTCGTGGGATACATTACAGTTCACTGACATGACACGCATATGACGAGGCCGTCTAAGGGAGCGCGGTGACACCGTCGTGACCTGACGTGCTATCTGGATGCTAATTACTGTCTGTCACCGCAAACAAAACGATCCAATGCTAATATAGAACCCTTGGTCTTCGCTCACTTTCGTTCATATTTAATTACGAAGCAAATTTACAAACGCAGACTCGTTTACATAAATAACCCGCCAAAAGCGAGTCGGACTCGCAAATGAATGGTTCCGTACCATCATCGTAATACACGTTTCTAGTAGGGGAGCCCCCTCTAATTTTTTATTTTTGTTAATTGTTGTTATAGCGGCAATAGAAATACACATTCTGTGAAAATTTCAACTGTCTACCTATTACGGATCATGAGATATAGCCCGCTGACAGATAGACAGACGGACGGACAGCGGAGGCTTAGTAATAAGGTCCCGTTGGTTACTTTTCGAGTACGGAACCCTTAAAAGGACATCCCAAATGAACTAACAAATGTTTAAAACATTTGGTTTCTTCTTAAAGATAAATTAGCTTTATTTAACTGGCAACGAAAACCGAAACGAAAGTTGCCATAATTCGAAATTACTACTATGAAACTAGCAAAAATAATTCCCCGCGTCTCCGAGGTACTTGTCTGTTAGATATATTATTAATACGAGTATTTTACCTTAACGGCATACAATAGCATTATCAGTTTTTCCTTATTTGTGTTAAACTATTTTGCAATCCAACATTTAAAATATATTAAGGTTTTAATTAAACTGCTAGCCAACTGAACTACTGATGGGTTACAATGAAGATAATGATGCTGTATTATTGTATAAATAATAATAATAATAATTAATATTATAATTATTACGTTGATTATATTTATTAAGTATTATATATTAATAAATGATTTTGATATAATGACAATAATATTACTTTAAATATATCTACAATTTTTGATGAGATAGCGTGTTGTGACGTTTGCTACAAGTTGACCGACATTCATCGTAAACAACTGTAACGACACCCATGAGAGATGGAAATACATCTTCTCACACGGAATGTTATAGAAATATGCGTTATATCACAGACTTCTAGTTCGTTTGTTAACCAACATTCAAACACATTTACAAAATGTTTGTCTTCTTGTGTATTATCAGCATTTTAATCAACTGAATACAGACTGCTACAAGAGTACGTAACAACTCTAGGCAGGCTGGTTCATCACCCATCAACCGTTTGTGCAATTTTGCTACTTATGGCATTTTGCTTGATTAAACTTAAACTGCTGTTTGTCGAACGTAGTAGCTTATCCGTTAGTTTACAGGATGCACCGCATGACGATGACGTTGGCACTTAAGAAAAAGTTAAATATACACCTAATTCCTCCTCCCGCTAAAATAATTAAATCGTATATAGTTTTAATATCACTCACCTCTCGCCGCAAGTGCGATGAAGGTCTGAGCATGCCTCTGCACCATTTCTGTGTTGACGAGATCACGTAAGGGGAGCCGGGAAAGCAGAAGCGGCAAGAAGTCATGCGCCGTGACTCCAGCCACATCCCATTTTAGCTTTGATAGTACTAGCAGCTCCCAGCTCTGTTTAACAAAAATACTTTTTAAATACGATTATACTATATACTCGTAAATACGATTATGCTAATGGAGTTACATCCTATACTTTAAGGGATCAATTCTTGTATATATCGACTATAACGATTTGGATGATGTTTCGAGTGAACTAGATAGGATTCATCCGTGAGATAAATATTATTTCTTCTAACGCCGAACAAAGCTAGCTTCTCCAAGTACTGGCACTAAGTACTAATTTCACACATTGTAATTATAACCTCTCAGTAAATATTTACTTAATCGTTTTGAACTTATCAATTTGAACTTGAACTTATCAACTACACGAGCACAAACCTTACAATTGTTTTACCAAAAGAAAGCGTCGAATCACTAGGACAAAATGGCATTCCTGCCTCCACATCCGTCGTATAATCGTAAACATGCCGAGTTTCGCCTGACTTCCCGGAACAGTGCGTAGGTAGTCCCCGCCATAATATTGTTGTTGTTGAACACACAAACCGACGTACTGTTTTATATTGTATTAACATAACAGACGGCAATTCTAGCGACCGTAGACTTAGCTAAGTTTCACTTTACACAAACTATTTAACTTCTTGGTATATTTTTTTTTATAGAATTAGGGTGACAAACGAGCACACAATCCACCTGATTGTAAGTGGTTGCTGTGGCCCATAGACATTTACATCTATTCTCGATTACGAATCAAAATGCAGATGCGTTGTCACCCGTAAGGACTAAGATGGAATGTCTCGTTTCCAGTAAAAAAGGGTCTCTGGTTCTCTACACTCACTATACGAAACACAGTAGCGTTATGCTGCTATTTTACGCTGGTATTCTGTGAGAGCGTGGTTCTTCCCCGGTTAAGCTACAAGCATCGTCAGCCCAATAATACATCACTAGTTTAGTATTCTGAGGATGTGATGGCAATACATTATCAGACGTCTCCTATATTTAATGACGGTTCCCATCGCCGGCGGTATTCTTACGGGTATATTTGGTTACGAGATTTTGTTACCGTTAAAGAGGATTAAGATCTCTTTCGGGATGATACTGGTGAGGAATCTCTTACGTCGCCCCCACCGAATAGCCAGTTCGTATACCATAATAATTGTGTTATGGTACCAGCATATTTGTATGCAACGTCGTATAGCGTCTTTCTTAATACGAAAAAGTGAAAAAGTGTAACGATGGAATGCCTAAGAAACGCCGTCAATTAAGTATACACTATGTACCTATATTGTTGTCGCTTATTACTTACTACACGATATCTATAAATACAACCATGTAATAAATGTTTGCTTCGTAAGCCCAGCTAAGTATCAAACGGCAATCGACTTCAACAATGAACAAAGAGTTGATTCACATTATTACGTTAGTTGAGGGAAGCTGTTAGGCTGGTGGTTACATCATCGTAGATGAACCCATTTACCACTAAAAATGCAATTCTATCCAATTAACTTAAGTAAGGGCAAATTAGTAAGATGAGTCTTATTAAGTATTAACTACTGGGGATCATTCAACCTCTCAGAATTATTAAAATCAATTTATCATAATTCATAATAATACCTACTGCTATTTGCTTTTTCTTACTAGGTATCAGTACGGCGACCTAGATTAAATTAATTAAAGCGATAATACCGACTACCAACACAAAGCTATCGATATGAATGGTTTATTTCATGAATAAGTCGATTATTTCGTGTGCACGCACTCACACATACACACACTCGCACATACACACATACAAATAAGTGATGCATGGCCGTTGACAGATAATACTCGATGTTTACTTAACTCAATCGTCGGGGTCGGTCGCGGCGGCAATCGTCTGCCTCGAACTACCATTCAATTTCATTTCTCAGAGCGATAAGGGTAGAGTTTAAACTCGTGCGTCGTAGTTTAGTGCTTAGGGCCTATCGCTTCCTTGTAAGCAACTTGTGAATGAATGAAGTCTCATCACTGGAACTCACACGAACCGTAACGTATGCCAGTTTTCAACTTAACACTAGGGGCGTCGCTATACAGAGATAATAACGTAGAAATTATTATCACAGTGTTTTACGCCACGTATACGAGAAAGGTAATGTTTAGTTAGAAAAAAAAAAACATAAGATGCTTAAGACGATGTGGTATGCGGGTCGACCGCGAACTGAAAAGCTTTTTTTTTTTGTCGTATGCCTGTGTGCTGCCATTGCGTCAAAAGTTGTATCTTAAAAACAATGAACGCATAAAGCATCCACCGCAGATGCCGCTGCACGCGACGCCCAACGGATATGCACATGATAGGATTATATTTATACTTCTCTATACCGCGGTGGGGGGTAATTATAGGTTGTATTATACAAGCTGTTTATGCTTTATAGTACGCTCGATACAGTTAAGATGTTCGGCATTCATTCAGACAAAACCTAATTATAAATAATAAAACAAACTTCAATTTTAAACATTAAAATTAATATTGGGATTGAAACTTGAATCAGCTGTATGATACATTAAAAGTAAGGTGGATTGGAGCAAAGCCGAGGCCAGAGGAATGTGGCTCGTAAATTTCCAGTCCGGTGTTCATTAGAGTAGCCGCGGCGCGGGTGTGCCGGCACGTTACAGCCAATAAAGTGAGCTATGCAAGCAGCCCTCGTTGCCCGAGCTCGACACACTCGCGGAATTCCACACAACGTTCCCATGCTTTATCCAATTTCATCGAACGGTGTTACTGCGCTGTTACATTTGCAATCAAACAATGAGTGTGGCGTCGCGTGGCCATAACGCCTGTAAGACTAAACAAGAATTTTCTAGATGCAGATAGACCACGTCATGCTTGCCTATTGACAAATGAACCAAAAAGAAGCGGTTTGGTTACGAAACTTTATTAACACTATCAAGCATAAAGTTTCGTTAGTTTTTGCAGTGTTTTCACTGGAATAAAACTAATTTTACGGATTTTATCATGTTTAAGTTTAACTTTTTTAATTCCCGACGTTTTGGGCTTCCGTGGTCACGGGGGGGCTGAGGTGATTGACGTCCTGATGTAGTCAACGAATGTTACCTACAACTATTTATTATTAATTTTTAGTACAATCTACGCAGAACGACCTTACAGTATCTTTAAATCTTGCAGTAGTATGCTTGGGTTTGGATTTAATTTTATTAATTATGGGATCCCAAGCAGATAAATTAAGCAGAAAATTAAGATATTTTTTTTTAATTTCAATAGCCACGCGAATCATCCATGCGAGGATTTGTGGTCTATCAAATCTGATATAACGATTGGGGTGGTACCGAACTTGTTCACATACTACAGACTTCCCGGAGCGAGGACTTAATAAAATTAAATCCAAACCCTAGTAAATACTAGTGCAATACCTACTTCAATATACTATAAGCTCGTTCTACGCAGATCGGACGAAAAATTAACAATTGAAAGTTTAAGGTACCCTTCGTTAACAACGACATCAGAACATCAGACACTTCATTCACCCCGTGACCATGGGTGCTGTAAAGTACCCGATACCTCGGGAGAAAAAGAGTTGGAATTAAACGCGATAAAATCCGTAAAATTAGTGTTATTCAATGTGTAATAAAAATAGTAGTAGTAGTAAATATAAGAAATTATTAAGTGCTTGCACTAGTTTGTTTCGGTCTGGAAATATAATAAAGAAAATATATAGTTGGGTAGTAACAATCTGTGGGGCATTTCACCTTAGTCCTCAGAGGAGACAACGCGCCTGTGCCTGTAGTTTAAAGTGTCGATAGGCTACAGTAGCCACTTACTGTCAGGTGGGCTGATAGTTAGTCTGTTACTTCTGTTTTATAAACAAAAACCTGACCTCACTAAAATGATTTATTGATTTAATAGGCATAACGTTCGCCGACAGTAATCAATCGAAAGCCTAACAATGTAACACTTGAATATTAAAGCCAACTCAAGCATTTATTACGTGATGGACGTACAAAATAGCCGTTACGTAATAACCCATCAACAGCAAATTCCTGTAAAATGCAGACAACGAAGTAACCGTCCATTATAGAAACTTGCAGTCTCTATTCTTTGCCATTTACGTCCGATCTGAAGTGACAGGCCGGCGCACAAATTGCGCAAACTTTGCTAAATAATGTGCATTTCGTCGTCAGCTTGCTTTGTAACATGAGACTTTTAATAACCGAAAATGTTTACGTTGCAGTTTTAGCATCTTAATCGAGCGTCGGACCAATAACGTTCGCCTATCATCGTTCGGGTTGCTATTCGGCTAACCACAAAAAAGTTAATTTCTCCCCCATAGCCGACGCCCGCATAGAATGCGTTGTATTTAACTCGTACCAGTTTATATTTTTATTACTGTCGGATGTCTTTTAGTAGCGATTCCACCTATAATTTTTACAAGAGAAAATCTATACAAATAAATAAAATTGTAAAGTCAAAATGCATATGAAAGTATATACGGCACTTATAACAAAAAAAAAATTAAAATTTTGTCTGTCTGTCTGTATGTATCGGTTAATTTCCGAAATGACTGGACCAATTTTGACGGGAATTTTACTGGCAGATAGCTGATATTATAAGGAGTAACATAGGCTACTTTCATTTTATCATAAAATCCAGTCTTAATATATTACACGCGGGCGAAGTCGCGGGGAACAGCTAGTAAAAAATAAAAGTTCCATTCATGGCGAGGTAACGCGCTTTTATTGTTTGATTAATATAGCGATTTTGGTATTAAGTGGTAAAAGTAAAGTTGCAGCCTATACCTATACGTCCCACAGCTGGCCGCAGCCGCAGGCCTCCTACCAATTCTGAGTGTGTACGATATAACGATAGCTGTTTTAAAGAAATACGAAGAGCTAAGAAATCTTACTCGAATATATTCGTCATTCGACGTGAACAGTTCGTCACGGTCGCAGTAGCAGATCCTTATCATCTAAGAATTTAAGAAATGAGAGAAAGCTTTTAACGAAGTTGCGAAGTTATGAGAATCAATGATCAAATTAACATTCTAAATGACACAATATTT